TTTTTGCTTGAGTTTCATTACCATTCTTTCATATATATATTCTTTGCTCTTCAAATTGCTCGCGCTGCAAAATATTGGGTATAATTTTCGAATACGCATCAACCAGGATGTCTATTCATGCTATCATATCACGTGTGACTGCTGCAATCGCTTGCTAATCATTTCATGAATTAGGTTCTTAGCTCTGCCTTCTTAAATTTTCCATTGGAAACCACCTGCTACAATGACTTGTTCTCGAAATTGATGTGCTCTGTATGGTTGAAACCTTAACATATCCATCCCTTATCATCTAGCCAGCCGTCCGATTTTTTTGATACTAGTCAGTCTCAGCAATAGCTTGCTTTGGTCTCTCTTTATCCCTTCTCGTCAATAGTTTGCGGTCATAACAATGAGAACGCTTTTTCCATTATTGCAATTCATAGCACCCCCATAAAATGCGATATATGGCATTGACGTCAGTTTTAACATCATCGGAGACGCACTCAGTCAGATGTGTTGTTTTATGGTTATTATCGCAAGATTGTTAAGGTGAAGTGTCGAACATTCCTCCGACGATGCTTGCGGATCAATTCGGCATGGCTGGTCTCGTCACCTACCTGCGCACTGTCGACAATCCGTCGATAGTGTCATTAGCGCTCGGCTACGATCTCACCACGCTCGGACTGAACCTGAACCTTTCCGAGTAAGTTTTTATTTAGGTTGTTTAGATTGATAGATCTGAGCTTTGTTATTTTTTTGAATCCTTTTCTTCAGTGGATGTTATTCTGCTGTTTGTTTGAAATTGTAGAAATATTGCGTTGATGTTCACGGAAAAAGTGTCTTTGACTGGTCTTGCTATAAAATTAACCTCCCTTCTATTCCTAATTTCTAGAAATTTCATGCTCAAACATGACTCAACCCTTTGCCTTCCCCCAAACCCTTTGCTGAATACTACTTCTGAGAAGGCCTTGGAATAGGTCAAACAACGAGCCCAGAGTGTTGACAAAGTTTTTTCTAATAACAACAGTCTAGAGTATAGGCAAAAATTCTCTTTTGAGTTTGTTAATAAAAAAATGACTTTTTTCTATTTTTTTACTTGTCAAACAAAAACAGCGTTCAAGTTCCTACAATGTTTCCAATTATTCAAGTTAGTTGACGCGGAATACATCGTGATCGCATCTTAAAAAGGCGGATACTTACTTTATGGAGATTCAAAAGACGATGCGTACTGGCAAATACGGTTTGAAACGCTGTTTTTATTCGGAAGTAAAATCATAATGCTTGCATATGCAAAAAATGATTAAAGTCTAGCTTTGCCCAAAACGGCGTCGTTGGATATTCATTGTTACGGTATTTGTCAATATTCAACCGTTTAGTCGAAGTTTTGCGTAAAATCTGATTATTGAGCAATTACTTGTCC